CTTTGCAGATGCTTTCCAAGGTCCCAGAGCTAGGTGCCCTTTGTAACCCCTTTTTTGGTTGGGAGGGTTGCCCTAAAATAGGCCACAGAAAAAAGTTGGTACCCTTATTCTAACCTCTCTACCGGAGGACCTGGTTTCCCTGAAACTCACCCCAAAACAGGATGCCCTCGCACAAAAAAGAGAGGAGAAGCGAGACCCCATCAAGAAGAGCATTTGGCAAAAAGGGAAGACAAGGGTCCTCTTTTTGCTCCGGGGGATGCAACTGCATGTTTGCGAAAAAAGCAACTAGGGACAAATCAGTTTCGGTCATGTACCAACAGAAAGGTGTTATTTCCACAGTTATCTCAAGGGAGGATGCAGGGAGCGGCAGGAAGACATCAAGCTGCCAGACTTATAGGGAAAGCGACCATGAGATTCCCCTGTTTTGAAGCTTTGGCATCAAAGCCTCTACTTATCTGTTGCATATCAGACAGCAAAAGCCATCTGTTTGGTGGGAGTCCCTTTTTCTTTTGGGAGGAAGGCCCCCTTTTCGGGTTCCAATCTCTCCCGGGGAGTGGGGAGAGAGCTTGATTCACATGCAGCGCGGTGATGTTGACACCTGATGGATTTCCAGTGACTTGCTGAAATCTGGGTATGGGTCAAAATTAGTCGCCAGGAATTGGACCGCAGGTTTTAGTGTCCTTGGTTCCATAGGGCAACCCATTTTGGGGTTACCCTGTTTTTGACAACCACAGCCATATGTTCCTCTTTAGTTTTTGTTTGCGTTGAACGACATACAATGCACACTCTGGTTGACAAGAGAGCAGGCCGCACCATGCCACTTTAGGCGGGCCAGATCTACAAGACCGCCATGCCGAGTTGGACAACATTGGTTCCAATTCATCACGGGCTCGGCAAGTTTTTGACAACTGCTTGCCAGTCGAGATCTATCAAACTCCCCCCATGGCAGCTTTGCCATGCAGAATGCTTATTGGGCGGCTGTAAAATCATCCTTCTTGCTCTTTTGCGTATCTTCCACGGTGGAGTTTGTTTTTGACAGACCTCACCCGACTCTGTGGAAACGCACCTCTGCCCTGCAGATATTCCTTCAGAACATATGTGCCAAAGGACATACTATTTCTTAGAGTGTCTTCCAATCGAAATGGCTGTGGGTCAAAACCAATGGTACCATTTTGGGTAGGTGCACCACCCATGTTGCGCTGTTTTAGTGGGGATTGGGATGTTCACTGGGGGCACGATTTGGATTTTGACCCATGACGAAATGTCAAGCTAAGCTTACTGAATCCGTCGGATTGCCGGGTGTCCATTTGACTACGGCACCCTCCGACCCCCGGTTTGTACCAGCGACAACAAGCTCGGCGGTTTTGTATGGTCCCCTTCTTGAATTTGTAGCCACACCCATTTGGGCGTGTCATTTGTTTTACGGGGCTCGCAAAATGCTTGCTCTTTTTTATTTTTTGGAAAAAGGGGTGCCCCCGGCAACTATCAATCCGAAGGTTAGTACTTCTGGACTGCCCGAAGCTCGGATTTCGTGGGGTTTGGTCAGGCGGCGGAGGCTTGGGTGCGGCGCTGCCGCGCCGAAGGCCATCGAGCCCCCGACGTTCCGGGGGACGCCTCCCAAAAGGAGATCCCTCTGGAAATGATGCTCGCTTTGGGTTCCGTTTTTCATCTGGGAGAATGACACAAATCCGCCGTTGTGGTGGTTAGGTTTGCTTGGATCAGTGCGGACCGGAATCAGAGGCGGGAAGCCCTTTTTGTTGTATTTTTGGCTGATTGTGCAGCTGCTGGTTCTGGGGGGGAAAGGCAGCCAACTTGGGGACCCGCGGTTTCCCCGAACCCACTCAGAGGTTTCTGTGCTCTGGCCAGTTTCCATACGGGGGTGTCTGTTTTAGGATTCAGACGGCCCCAAAATGCATGAACTGCCAGAATTCACCATAATTTTCTGCACCTAAGATGGTTTCCCCCCCCCCCCCCCCATGTTTTAGGCGTCCCCCCCTTTTTTCAGAGTTCAGGCGTCGTGTACCTGCGATCGGATCGCCGCACTGCCGGTTTTGGATGCTGGTTGAAGCTGTGCCAGCAGAATTCATGTCCCATCCTGGTGCCTTTTTTTGAGCCATTTTGCATTGATTTCTTTTTCTCGGTTGCTTTCATAGGGATTCAGCAAGGGACACACCTCGATTTTGGATGGGCTCAAAGGGAGTCAAACCTCCTTTTGGATGTCAAAAGGGAAAATGCAACCGCCCATCAACAGGAGCAGAGGGGAGAAACTGCCCATAAGGAGAAGAGGGGGGTCGATTTTTCCGAGCGCTTCAGCACCGCTTGTGCTTGCTAGGTCTGCAGCCGGACAAGGGCAGCTTCAACTCCCTGTGCCTTGGCTTCACAGATGTCGAGTCTGGCGGACTCGCGGGTTGGGCTTCAGCCGAATGTCACTTGGGTTTCAGCCGGAGATCCTCTGTTTGCACCGGCTCAGTTGATTCAAAGTCCTCTCTGTCCAACTTTGGATACATGGCTTCTGGTTCGCGGATTGGTATGAGCTCTGGCAGAAAGCAGTGAAAAGCTCCCGCCCCTTCGATGTGAAGTCGACCAAACCGGCCAAGCGAAGGGCCAAGCAATGCTGGTCCTCGGAACCTTGGAGCCCAGTGGGGCGAAGATATCCATTGGGGTACTCACGAGCTTCACAGCCAGAGGGAAGACACCGAAGTGTCCCATCCAATGAATTCACATGGTAATTCGTGCAGACAGTAGTTTAAGACGTTAGGATGAGGCCGTATTGGACAAGAATTGGATTCCCGACCGAAAAGTGGAAGTGGTTCCTCTTTGGAGGCATGCCACACTCTACCCCAACAAAGTATGTCAAAAGGCCCAGCCTGCGCAGGATGCTTGTGACATGAAGCTGTCATGGCCAAGCATCCCAGGGTTGGGCCAGGTTCACAGGGCCCCGTCTTGCTCAGCAACGACCTGAGCCAAAAGTTCCCCTTTTGGACAGGTAGCCGTCCTTGAGCGACCGAATCCTGCATGCATCGGGAGCTCTGTCAAATTATTCTAGATGATTCCAGATGAAGCCCTTTTGGGACATATGTCAGGACCAATGGACACACGTCGGCCATGGCGCGACATTCAAATGATTTGAGCAACAGCCCGCAACGTCTTTAGTCTTTCGGCAATAGAGCTTGCCTCGGAGCTTCTTAATGGCCTGGGGTGAACGGACCATGGGTTCAAGGGTACGTTCAAAGGACCACGCATGTCAGTGATATGGCTTTGGCTGAAAACAATGCTATATGGGATCAAAAAGCTAAGACCTGCGTTGCCCCAGCTGTTGAGTTTTGAGCCACACCCAGCGATTTGGGTAAATTGAATCGCGACCCATCAGTGAAGCTCCATGAAGGTTTGTTTATTCGGAGTCGTCGCATGAGTCGGTGAATGGATGTACATGATTCGGGATGATGTGCTAGTTGTTTCGTTTCTTCCAATCGCCCATTCCAAATCATATTTTCCAGGTCGCGGAATGGGGGGGAAGAACCGCGAGGATTTGGCCCAATCGCATCTTCTAGAGTGTTGCTCAACACTACGCTGGGCAGCTCGAGGACAACTCAAAATAGGTCTCTCAGTTTTTGGAGGGTGCCCGACTCCTGACGGGTCAGGGGTCAGGGAATTGGGGGGCGCCCTAAAACATGGGCCGGTCTTCTTTTGGAAGGTACCTTTTTCTGGGTTGGCTTTAAAGGGAAACCACAAGGAAACCCACCGTTTTGGGAACTCCGAATGTTAAACAAACAGACGCACCCTTTGCTCGTGCATCGAGGGTGCGGGGCTGCGTGAAGCGCGGGGTGCGGAAGCCCGGGCGGCCTCTTTTTTCTCCCAGGGGTCCAAAATGTGGGTTTCCTTCATGGGTGACTTTCCACAGAAATGCGTAACTTGTTTGTTCGTGGAAGGTTTCCCTTCAAGCCGCCCACACTGATAGTTCCACAAAGATGAGTTTGTTTTTTCGTCGGGTTTCCCTTCAACCCGCCCACACAAATAGATTTCTGCGTTTTGTTTTTGTCTGGTTTCCCTTCAAACCAAGCCTGAAACCGTGTACCAAGCCTGAAAATGAAGCCACCAAACAGGGCACACCTTTTACAGGGCGAGGATCATCCCCTTGGCTGCTGTACAGGGCCACCAGAAGAGGAGTCCCCATCGAGAAACACCAAGGCCAACATGTCCAGTCTATGGTCAATTTAGGATGCAAGTAACAATGCAAGTAGTTGTTCCATGTCCATTGCGTGAATCAGAGTTTTTTGGGCAGTGGCACATGTGCCAAAGGCTGATGGATGAGCCCATTGCCACTTCCCAACAGTGACCTCAAGGGATTTGGTTTCCGACCGATTTCAAGGGTTCCTTGCAAGGGCATCCCGGGGCAGCCCGATTGGGGAATGCTGGCGTCCGTTGGGCCCCAAGCTGAATGTCAACCCCGGACTATGCGCTTTTTTTTCCTTTTATTGGTTGCTTTTTTTTTTGGGGGGGGGCTCATTAGTTGGGTTTCTTTTCCTTCCAGGGTGGCTGCCACCCCTGAGAAATACCGGGAGGGGAGGAGAGGTGGTCAGGGACCAACATTGACTCACTTTCTCCCTTTTGCTCGAGGGAAACCACCAGAAGAAGGGGTGCCCGAAAAACTGGAGGAAACACTCAAGCCTGAGTTGCGCTATGGATTGGAACATCACTCCCTGCGATCGCATTACTACCTCAAGGTGCCATTCAGAGACGTGGCTTTGAGAACCTTTCTTGGGTGGTGAGTGCCCTGTGGTTTCCTCCCTGCGCATATTATGTACAATTATATGTAAACTTGTTATATGTAAATATGTATGTTCAATTTTGCACACACGCATAGTCACTTTCTACTGCAAGCACTTACGCAATTTTGTAGGCTACTTTTGGGCTTGGGTCTTTGGTGCGATTTGTTTCCTTCAACCTACCGAATCCCCAGATTCTGAGAGGTCAGTGATTCGGTGATGCACCTCGGCGTGTGGCTCGAATCCAGTATCTCAGTACCTGGAGCGTTCCAGTGATCGAGCTTGTACATACTCGCGCTTTTTGCGCGCGCGCACGCGCGCGCGTGCGACTCAATGGCGAAGAAAGTGAAGGTGGAGAGGGCCAAGAGCGGCAAGTCTTTGTGCAGGAGTTGCAAGAAATTGATCCGCACAGATGAGCTTCGGGCGGGAATCGATTGCTGGATGCGAGGGCGGACAGTAACCGCTTGGCTCCACATGAAGTGCCCTAGCTGCCCAGTAGGTGTTTTGCTTCTTTTGCTATTGCTTTGGGGGATTCCCTTGAATGATCATGAGCAATGATCACACCAAGCAATGTTCATCATCTTTCAGAGGTCCATTTTTTAGCTCTCTTTGTTTCATTTCTATGAGGGGAGGTTCCTTTAGAAACAAATAATCAAGATAAGGGGAGTCCTGAAGCCACTGGGCCAAGGTGCATGTCCGACTGCTTGAAATTCAACCGCTGCAAAGGGCGGGCCAAATGCAAGCTCTCAGGGGACATCATGGAAAAGGGGGAAGCGCGACTGGAACTCGCGAAAGAGTGTACCGGCGCTTTCTTCAAGCTCAATCATTCTGCCGCAGCACTGGCAAACTTTCTCAGGAAGAAACAGATGGACCCTAGGTCCATCAAAGGGTACAGCAGTTTGTCCCCAGATGAGAGGAAGCATTTGTGGAGGCCTGACAAGTTTATAGCGGCTCGCCGGCGACGGACCAAGAAGAAGGCCTGAGAAGCATTTTCCTTGAGGTAATTCACGTGGAATACCGCTGAGCTGGCAGGCTTCAAGGGAGTTCCTGCGGATCTGCGCCCAAACTTTTGTCCATTTCGATGCTGCCTTGCACAGCGGTAAGCAATGTGGCCAGAGTACATGTTGCCATTTTTAGTGGGCGGTTCTGCTAAGGCCTATATAAACGTGCATAATCATGCCAGTAGAGCCAGACTTTAACGGGTTTCGGTCGCCGCTCAACTGAACAGTTGGCCATCCTTGGCGTGCGTTCCATCAGGTAGGTTCGTTCTTCGCTGTGTCACGTGCACAAATTCAAAGTTCTCTAGTGACCGCGCACCCGAGAGATCTGTTTTTGGTGTTTGTGTGAAAGCGCGAGCTTCGAGGCGGCGGGATTCGGGATGTTACAACACTTTCTTGAGCCTCGTGCCAAAGGAGCAACCACCTGATCACATTTCCCTTGGTTTTCCAAACCACACCGGGCACTGCCGCAATGGTATACCTTTAAGGGCCGGTGTTACATATATATATATATATATATATATGTATCTATGTACCACCGACACACGCGCACAACCTTTTCCTCTTGGGCATGAGGCGCAACCCTTTCCCCTCAGACTCTTCAGGGATGGACTGACAACTAATATGTGACATGTGACTTCGTGGACATCGCTTTGTGTTCAGATGACCTTTATCTTCACAAAACCTGACACTTGATCTCATGCAGGCCAAGCAAAATCAAATATTTTTGTGAATTGGCCTGCGTCTGAAGCCGAGCTGACCAACCTTTGAGGCGGTTTGTCAGTGGAGCCCATTTCTCCACATGAACCAGGTCCTAAACCGGGCTCTCGGCTTGCCAGTTCCCGGCACGTTGACGCCATGACCAGGTGCTCAAACACGGGAACCGTTTTGGGGTTGGGGGGAGGGGTTGCCTCGTGATCCAACAAGTTATTATGCTTTTCCACGGTTGCTTTAATACTATAGTCGTGACTCCTGACAGGTAGATATTAGGTTGTCTTCAACGGCACCTCGAGCAAATGCAGTGGGCCGAAAGGTAAATCTCTCACAGGCATGTTTGGAGAGCCAGTATCCCTTGCGACGTTCTCTTCAAAGAAAAACCCAAAGCAGTTTGTTGTGAAGCAAGGGTGGTTTTTCCAATGCTTTTTCGCAGGGGGTTTGATTTGCGCAACCCTGCATGACAATATGGACAACTCGGAATCGCCGCGGCTTTTGGACTGTCGCCAGCCCCTTGGCTGAAAGTTTTCCTATCCGGCGCCCGAATCTTCGGCGCGGACACTTTGCGCCCAGCTGCGCCCGAATTTTCGATGGTGAAGAAGGTGAAGGTGGAGAAGGCCAAGAGCGACAAGAGCCGCTTGGCAGCTTTCCAGCTTTGCTTTTTGGGGGACATGATCACTGCCTAGATAGCCAAGTTGCCGCTTCTTTCAGTCACTGTTGTTGGTTTTGGGGGTAAAGTGCATGGAAAAAAGCAGCAACTGGCGATCCAGGTGGTAGCTATTTGTGAAAAGCAACGGAAACGCAGGTTTGTTGCACAGTGCTTAGCCAGGCAAGGATCTTAAGGAGTCTGTTGATTTCATTGGGGAGGGGGGCGGGTTAAGCATCACCCTGGCTCGGTCGCCCAGGCACCTTGGCTGACTGGGTTGTTGGGGAACTGAGCAATTCGCAACTCGTTCAAGGGAAGGGTCATGGGAAAGGTGCCAATGCCAGGTGGGAAGGAGCTCAGCAAACGGTCAAGTGACAACATCTTTTGCGGCCCCATCCAACTTTGCCATGGTCGGGGACACATTGGTGCTGTCAGGGGCTCGAATGACAGGTCACACCAAGCATCTCTCCAAAATGATAGGAAGTAAGGGGACCCAGCTGTCGGGGGCTTCCTAAAAGCCACCGGCCGATGCAAGGAGTTTTTTTCCCTGAAGCCGGCTTTCGAGCGAACAAGTGAGGTTCCTGCAAGAAGTGCCAGAAGAAGATCAGTTTTGACGAGCTCCGGGCTGGTGTGGACTGCTGGATGGGCGGTCGCACTGTGACCGCCTGGCTGCACATGACACCCGGCCTGAGTCGGCGACTCTGTCTGGTCTTGCGCTTCGCCCCTCGTGAAATTCTTATATTTTGATATTTTGGTTCAAAAGGAAGCCAAAAGGAAGAGATTTATCATTTTGTTTTTCCGGACCTTGACTGGCTGGTTCAAGCACCGAATTTGGAGGAAGTGCCAGGCTCCAAAAACCAAATGTACCCTGATCTTCGGAGATCTCTTGAGCTCACCCTTGTTTTAACGGTGGATGCCCTAAAATATCATATTGCAAGTAAACCAACCCACAAGCCTTGGAAATTCACAAAGTTTCCTGGGTTCCCTACTTGCAATCTTGAGTTGGCATCCACCGTACGGCGGAGGAAATGCATGGCCGAGTGCTTCAAGTTTGACCGCTGCAAGGGCAAGGGCAAGTGCAAGCTCTCAGGCAGTTCGAAGAACATCCCACCTCAAGGTTGCTCCAGCCACTTCTGTGATACAAGGGAATCTCCCCCTTGTATATGGGAGGCGGGGGATTCGTCTTTGGGAATCCCTTTTGGTTGTATCACGCAAGTGGTCGTTTTTGACAGCCCTGTCCCACCTTCGTTGCACCAAGTTGCAGAGTCGGTGTTGCCAAATAGATCAAGCAGCACTTTCTATTGATTATTCATAGGCCTATGACAACTTACATTCCTTCTCGCCAACAAGGAATTGCGGGAGGGGATCAGGTTTGCCCGAGTGATTTTGCTTTCTCTGATCGGCAGGATGAAAATTGAAACAATCAAGGACACCACGCCTAGGAATGTGAATGTTAGCCCAAACAAGGGGACTGAGAACATTTTTACTGGGTTGCCATTTGAGTGGGTGCAATGATGGGACAGTGATGCCTCCAGTCTTCCGTTGGACCATTGTATTTTTTTGCCGGGAAGATCAAGGGGGCTCTATTGTATATATCAGATACCTTCCCACCAACGAATAGGATTTGGCGCATGAGAGCTTGTTTCAAACAGAATGCCTGTACTCCTGCGAGGCGGGCAGTGCAATTTAAAGTTTGGTGGCGGGCACCCCGGGGTTTCCAAGCTGAAGGGCAAAATGTTTGGGTCGGAGACCGAATGATGCAGGGTTTCTGGGGATGACATGCGTCCAACGTAATACATGCTGGGATCGCATCCTTAAAGCTTAAGAAATGACCCAACATGGTCCAACGTACTTTGGCTTTATCAGGAAGTGATCCAACATGGGATGAGTTTACCGTTGGGGCCCGGCATCCCTGAGCCGAAAAGCCCCTTCTGAGCCCTGTGAGGGATGACTATGGAAAGGGGGGAAGCACGACTGGAGCTCGCCAAAGAGTACACTGGCATCTTTTTCAAGCTCAATCACTCCGCTGCTGCGCTGGCCGACTTTCTCAAAGCGACTGGGCTGCTCGTTGCTTTTTCTTTCGTATGTAGCGGCGGGGACGTGGTTGTTTGTTTCCCCTTTGGCTCAACCGAAATCACCAGTTAACCATATCATTTTGGTTGAAAACTCATGGATTCCACTGGTTCCAATCATTAGTGCCATCTATGTTCCAAACAGACGCCTAGGCGGTTCACCTCTGGGAGCATTGTAGATTCCAAACAAGGACTAGCAAAATATTTAACTTGTGCAAGGGTTAGACGAGCAGGGGCAGACGACCTTTCACTTTGCAACCTTTTTGCGGGGACTGTTTTTACCCGTGCATGTTGCCCCGGTATTGAAAACCGGAATCCTGTGGGAACGTGGACTTGGCGGGTCGGAGTCCAACGCAGCGGACCAGGTTCCACTTTCGGTCGGAGAGCGAGCCCGGTTAGCTCCAATGAGGGTGTCCCACCCTGAAAAGTACTTTTGAGAATCTCTCAACATGCCCGCCCACTTGCAGAGGCCTATTCTTTCTAACTTCAGTTCTTTTGAGGACTGCAACCTGTTTAAGGGCCCCAGTGTTTGATTCTTATGGGGAGGACGGCATTAAAACTCCCAAGCATCCAAGGAGAAGAAGATGGACCCAAAGTCCATCAAGGGCTACAGCGCATTGTCCGCGGACGAGAAGACGCGTAGCTGAGGTTTGGTGACAAGCAACCAATTGAAGGCTTCAAACCATGAAATGACAAGGACCCAATTTAGATAACACATACTCCTATAAACAATGTGGCTATATAAATATATGTAAACCCAACGTTTGTTTGGCATCAAGGTGCCGATTTTTCCGCCCTCTTGTTCCTTTGCGTGTTGCTTCCTCCGGATCAAGATGAAAGTGGCCAGCTCGTGTTTGATCTGTTTTATAATTCCCATGGTTTTCATTTTTGCCCGCCCTGGTTCCTGACTTTTGCGCTTTTGTCTCTATCATTCAAAGGCACCTTCCTTTTCACGAACGCTTCGCGAAGGAATCCGACAGCTACCAACGTGGATTCCCTAAATGAGACTTGGATGGGTACGTTGGACCTACAACCAGGAAGCGCTAGCGTTTGAACATGGTGAACCCTTCTTTGTGTGGCTTTACACACAAAGGGACATTTTGAAGAAACCAAGCATGTTGCAAACCACCCACTGAACGTGCACTTTTAGTTGTGCCACTGGTGATTTGCAATCAGGGTTACGGACCACTCAGCAAGTAGCCGGCCGCCTCCTTAGTAGATATTACAACTAAAGAAATCACATCCAAAAAACCTGAAAGGTAAAATGCTGGAAGCTTGGAGACTAGGTCCCCCAGTATTGTCCTTTTCGGGGAGGGTTCCCTGCTAAAATAGACGTACCCGTATTCTAACCTCTCTACTGGAGGACCTAGGAGAGTGTCCAGCTTGGTTATTTGAAGTATGTAGGTGGTATCCTGGCTTTTATTTTATCGTATGGCTCACGTGCCCAAAAAGCTGGATTTGGACCCCAGAGGGCAATTTCGTGCAGGTCAAGAAAACGAGGGCGTTGCAAATCCGAGCCCCGGGTTCCAAAACCTTCCCCTCAAAATTGGCCAACTTAGGGGGTTGGATTGGATTCATTTTCTTTTTTGGGTCCTCTCTTTATCTTGGCTGAAACGGAAGGGGGTCTGGAGACTGTGCCCAGCCAGAGCGGGGGGGAGGGGGCCGGGCTCAGCAAATCGTTTTCTTTGCTGTTTGGCTGTCTTCCTTCGAGTTTTTGGAATAGATCCCACTTGGCTTAGCAAAAACCGGGTACAGAGAGAACACTTGATGGCGTTTACATGGGGGAACACATGGTCACAGAGAGAAAGGAGTGACGGGTACTTGGATGGTCTGGGACAAATCACTAAATGGTTAGTAACCCTGGTTAACGGGGACTTACAACCATTGCTTTGGTGGGTTACAAATTTGGGCAAAGCTAGTCATTGAGCGATTCGTCCCAGACCATCCAAGCAGGTTGAACATCCAAGTTGGGGAGTCCGCCAAAGGAACACACCTGAGCTATCAGATCATCCAAGTACTGCCCATTTTCAGTTCGTCCAAAGTCCCCCGATGCCGTCCTCGAGCCTCAGGAAGCTTCTCTGGAGATCCTCCTCGGTGCGGCTCCGGCGACCGGCGGCGAAGGCCTAAGGCGGCGTTGCCGACGTTGCCCGCGAGAAAAGGCCGCGACGTGGGTTGTCCGGCGCTGGAGGTCTGGTGGAGCCGTGCCAGTGGATGGAAAAGCCAAGTCCGTTTCGCAGCACTTGGAATCCATGGTCGAACACGAACGGAAACCATGGTTGAAACCATTTGTTGCTTGGGTTTTATAGGGGAATCGAGTCATGCCAAGGTTTCTTAGGTAGTGCGAAATGGTTTTCGTCCGTTCACAGTAGGGCTCGCACTTACCATAGTCGCTGAACTCGGGCTTTAGGTTGCCACATTGTGGGTGGCCGAGGACTCGGATTGACGTGGTTTGGATGTGAAACCACCAAACGTTGTCACAGGATGGCAGGCTTTCTCCACAACAGATATTTGGGGAGTTCAATTTTAGATTTCTGGGTGATTGTTTGCTCAACGTGAAGCAATTCCCACCTCCCTAAACTAATATCAACACAAAGAACCCTTGTGGGTTTTCCACTCGTTTGTGACCCTAGAATTTGAAGGTCCCTTCCCTTACCAGGGTCTCCAACCACTCCGAGTACCTCGTTCCGGTCCCACGGAAATTCACGCGGATCTTTCGTCAAGCCGTGGGCTTCAAGGACCATCTGGCCGCCGGGCGCTGGTACAAGAAGGCGCTGGAAGTCGGTAAAACGGCGCCGGGTGCCGTTTTCACCTGGGTTTGGAAAAGCACCCAAAGCAGCATCCCGATTTCCGTTTTGGTCCGCCCGTTGTTCAAAGTGTCTTGAGATTCTTCATCTTCAGCTGTCCAGCTTGAAATAGCACAGAAAGGCCTTGATCGCTTGTTCGGTGGATTCCAGAGCTGCAGGCGACGCGGGGAAAAACTGCACATAAATGCATAGCACAAAGTGGACATAGAGGCATGCACAGGGCAAGTGAACCGCATAGCTGCATGCACAAGGAAAGTACCCAAGTTGGGTTCTGCGAGCTCAGATGTTCGATGCAAACATCCCACAAAAATGGTTTGCCCGCATAAACCAACTGAATGATGTTCACCAAAGGCTTCCCTTCGGATTCATGCCAGAGTGGTTTGCACGTTCTTTTAGGGATTCCTGCATGGTGAATCATGGCAAGTGCAGATGTGCCCCCGCATGTGTTTAGTTGGCGTGCTGGATCAGAATCAGGGTGGTCTCTTCCCAATGACCACCCCTCGATTTTGGGGACTCCGGCATTTCCGGCTTCCCTTGGAATAGAAAAAGGTTCAGAGGACTGACCCGAACCTTTTTCGGTTCCTTTCTTGCCATTGCCCTTTGGCTAACGCGTTTGCAGTGGGTTTGGCGTTTGAGGCGAGCGCCGTGCCTTTCTCGGGGCCGAGGACCGGTTTGGTTTTTGGAGCTCTTTTGTTCCCGGAAGGGTTGCCGGGGCAGGCAACGAAAAAAGGCAGGTGCCCTTCTGACCACATGAGGACAAGTTTCAGAGAAGCATTGGCTTTGAGCACTTCTGTAGATCCCACAAGGGTTGTTTGGGCATGAGGGGCAACCCCCCTGAAAGCCCCTTTGACCACATTCATCTGCATTGATTTGGCCCGATGGGCCTGCATTCCTACTGGGCGCACGCGCCCAGAACCAACATGAGACCAAGCGGCAGGCGGAGGAGCAGGGCTTCGAGCCCTCGGCACGATCCCCAATCCGCGAGAAATGTGTTCGTTCGGGAATGGATTGCGGGATGGAGGTTAGGAACATTTTTTTGTGTGGATATATATATATATATCGCCTGTACATATATATATATATATAGATATTTTACGCCTTGGCTTACATTGGTAGTATGGAGGCTTCCAAACACCATACCTGAGAATGCCCTTGAACTTAAAAGCACGATGGGACCCCCTTGGTTTCGGTGACTTTGAAGGGACAGCTTAAAAGGAGCACCATTTGGGAAGTTCGCCCCAAAAAGGCACACCCGCATGGATTTGGGGATGGAGGTTTTGTACTGCTTTATTGGGATATGTAACGCCTTAGCTGATATGTATAGGGAGAAACCAAACCAAACTTGCTAGTGCTCAGCAGGGAATGTGGGCATGAACCCAGAGATTCCCTTAAAGGAAACCACAAGGGATGGCTTATAAGGGTCATTCCCTCATCCAATCCCAAGACAAGATTGCGTCACACATCGAGAATGGACGCCGTGTTTGTTTTGAGACTGGTCGTACTATGGGCACGATCACAACCGGTTGGTCCGAACAACGTTCCAGGGACCCTTCTTTTCAAAGCCTTGTCGCACTACAGGGAATTGCAATGGTTTCTCAAAGGAACGACGGGTGAACGGACTGCATTCGGGATCATCCTATAGAGGAGGCAGTCTTGGTTTTGGTACGGCCACAAAAACGGAGGCACGATTCTCTCAGAAAAACAAAAAAAAGCAAAAAACAACACAAACTTTCGGTGGAAACCATCGCAGGGTTGACCTTTTGAGCCCCGTTTGAGGCTGATCGGATTTCCTGCGGAGCCTTCCGCGGCGTACAGATGGGAATCATTGAGCTTATGTGATCCTCGCAAGCAGCTCCCTGGTTCATGTTCGTCCAATCAATGACGTATCTTCCTGGAATCAGGCAACGGGGCGATGATCATTGCACGGATCCCTCGTGAATGTGCTTACACGCTGGTTTCTAAGTCCTGAGTGCAGGGTTCACGACCATAGCTGGCGAACCGAGCAGTGATGCGGTGGGGTTCGGGATGGTTCTGGTGGTCGATTGGGTTCTGGGTGCTGTTGCTCTTCATGGAACTTCGAAGGCATTCGGAAGATTTCAAAACAAGGACTACCCCCAAAACCGGAAAATGGTACGATTTCGTTTGGTGTTCTTTTGTCGAGTCGGAGCAACCTTTGGTTTTGGGTGAAAACTCACTGTTGGTGGGGAGTTCAACCGCAAGCAGCTGTTGTTAAGCAGCAAATCACCAGGAATCTCTCGCCATTTCCGGGGCAACTTCCAGCCTGAAGGCCTTTAACTGTAGAAGAAATAGTTATTTCTCCATGATTGTCAGTCAGGGCTGTGGGGAATGACCACTTGAGTGATACAACAGAAAGAGCTTCCCAAAGACTAATTTGATCATAGAAACGGGGATTCCCTTGTATCACAGAAGTGGGGATAAACCCCAAGTGATCCCACAACCCTGTTGTAAGTCAGCCAACTCCTGTCCCAACTTTCGCCGTGCTGATCCCTGAGCCTTTTCTTGGACTCGGCGCCTGGCCCGGCGGATGTTTGCTGGAGCTCGAGGTGGCTCTCCTGGGCTCCGTGCTTCGCTGCGCCGCCTTCAAGGACCTCGCCTTTGCGCGGCAAATGCGGCCCGGCAGACACCAAGCGGGGCGAAGGGCCTGGCCACGTGGTTTGTTCCAGGGGTCACAAGAGGAGAAACTCAGTTGTTCAGTGGCACCTTCTTTCCATTTTTGTTGGTGGCTACCCCACTAAAATGGGCTTCCCCAAAAAGGGTTCCGTTTTTTCTCAGGGTCACTGAACAACTGAGGAAATTTGGGGCTTGGGACGCCATGTTTAGCCTTTGGAAGGGAGCTTAGACAGTCAAGATGTGACTACGCAACTATCGTGGTTGGCACAGCTTCAAAAAGGGGTGGTGGACAATCGATCATCCCCGTGTCAAGGGATTCGGAGACTACTTGAAGGTTCAGGCTCCTATTTCATCTCCATTTCCCATTGACTCCCTAGTGAAGGAACATGAGGTGTACCAAGTGGGTGGGGGATGTGAGGATGTGATGCGAATCGGCAATCGGAAGCTGTGGCTCTGGCGGTTCCGTGCAAAAAGACAACGTTGCTTCGAACACCCCCCACCCAAAGAATATTTGCTTGGCTAAACTAGACTGCAACCACACAGGCACCAAAAAAATCAATCCGACTGCGTCTAGCCTCAAGCATGCTGCTGGCTAATGGGACTGCAAAGAAACTGAAGCCAAACCGGTTTGAAGGTAGCCTGAGCTGTCGCCGACGTCACTCTTCCTGTTTGGTGGAATCCCCCTTCATCTTGGGCTCCCCGATTCTTCGAGGGAGCGGGCAAGCTCTTTCAAGAACTGGTCATCTAGCCCCAAGATCCAACTGCATGGGCTGACAGCAGCTGAAAATCAGCTGAGCGTGTGGGTCGAAGGTTGCCAAAACCCAAAAAGTCGCAGCGCTCAATCTTCCTCACCCTGGGTCTTGCGGCTCAGCATAGCTTCAGCGGCTGCACACTTTTTCCCGCGTGAGAGGCTCTCTAGAGGCGTAATTGCGTGCTCTTGGCGCCTGGGCCTTTCTCAAACAACCAGCCCAGCCGCCGCGTCTTTGAGCGCCGACGAACTGCTGCAGCCAAGCGGCGCTGCGGGAAGCAACCGAGCATCGAGCCCAAAAGTAGGGGCCCCTTAGCCTTTACCAGGACACACCCATATCCCGCTTTTCTCGTGACTAGCTCCCTTTTTGATTCATCGATGAGCGGTTGCTTTGTTTCTGGTTTTAGCTTCGAAGTTTTTCAACCTGATCAGAGACGTGGGTATTTACTCTAGGGGTTGGTTTCAACCCCCCTTCTTTTCAACAGGTGTCAGTCCTTCTTGTTCTTCTGGAAAGACGAGTTGGAGTGTAGATCGATGATTTGTGTTCTTCGGAGACAACTGCATCCTTGCAACCCTCCCTCGGCCCATTTGAGTGTCTCTAAATTAGGCCCCCCCCCCCCCCCCAACATGGGTCCGGGTTTCTGAGGTTGGACTATGTCCTTGGCCGGGGGACCGTGCCAGATGCCCGAGAGCCCAGTTGAATTGGATGGGGTTATGGAAAAGGGGAGTGGGGTACAAGAAAAAAACCTAAACACTTTCATTGGCCCCGCACCCGCAACCGGCACGGCTAGACCAGTGTCCAAATTGGACCTCTTGGCGAAGTGGGCAAGGCGACAGCCAAAAGCTTAGTCTCGAAACGGGGGAACCCATACGAGTCCAGATTTCATTGTTTGCTGTATTTCACAGCATGTTCAAGCAAAATGCATTTGTTTTGCACCAGCACTGTCGGCATCGTTTTCAGGGTGGGTTCAAGGTTGGCTTAGGGTTGGTTCGGGGTCGGTTGGTTTGGGTTTGTATTGCAGGCTTGGTTGG